TGTGAAAGACCAACACAAATACTTACCGGTACAAGTGGGGACTGAAGCAAAACTACCAGAAAAAGCAAACTGTAGATCTAGGGTTTTGCTACTTTGCATGCACTGAAACAGTTAAAGTGTCTTCATGACGAAATCCTTGTGTATCGTTTTATTCATTAACTTTTAGGACATCAGTAACATATCACTGCTAAAACACACCGTTACCTCAGATTCTTTATGCAGCTTGCTATGTTATTAGAAAAAAACAATATAAAGGCATTTTTTAGCATCTTTTGTGTGCAAGTTTCAAAAAACTTCCGGCAAAATTCTGGCTACATTATCAGCATTAACGCTAACATTAAGGTTACATCATTAGTCCGTACTGATAAGGGTTTCATGCGGTTAACAACGGCTTTCGCGTATTTGCCTCGAAAAATTGATTTGAATTCGACAACCGAATTTGATTTTTTTTCATTTCCTAGTTTCACTTTTCTGGTTGCGAATACACATATTTGCCGCTAGTTTATTTGAATCCATAGAAATCCTTACATTACGGGATCACTGATATGAGAGCTGGATGCTACAGGAGGAATGTAGCCATAAGCTGCATAGATGTAACGACAAAAGCTAATTAAAATTATTAATCTTAACTAATGGACGTAATTTAGAGATACCAAACCACCTGCTCCACCTGGCGCGCCACCAGCAGCAGTACCACCACCACCGGCTCCGGCCGTGCTTCCTCCACTGGATGAGCAGAAGACGCAATCGGCAAAATCGGGGAAAGAGGATAAGGAACCCAAGAAAGAGGAAACTGCTAAGGAAGTAAGATATTTTTCCCAATGATCAGATTTGAACAATCAGTTTTCAAATTTCGATAAGTAAAAAAAGACTTTTATAGGGCGAAGAAAAGAAGAAAGAAGGCTCAAAGAAGGAAGGGTCGAAGAAGGAGGAGCCGAAAAAAGAAGGCTCAAAGGAGAAGGAAAGTTCAAAGAAGGAAGGCTCGAAAGAGAAGGAGGGGTCCAAGAAGGAGGGGTCCAAGAAAGAGGGGTCTAAGAAGGAAGGGTCCAAAAAGGAGGGTTCAAAGAAGGAGGGGTCCAAGAAGGAAGGGTCCAAGAAAGAAGAGAAAAAGGATGGTTCGAAGAAGGAAATTGCAAAGGTTAGAAAGCACGGCCTTTTACCATATATGATATTAGCCGTAAAACATATTTCAAACATTCGCCCAGTAGCACCATGGCTGAAATTTGCAAAAAATGTTATCAAAATCACACCCTCATATTTCTTAGGTTGTGAGATCAGGAAACTCGCAGGCTCCGTAATAATACTTCGCAAATCGATGCAATTTTCGAAAGCGCTTTGGAATTCTGAAATTACTAACGGAAAGCTAAGGCCTCGTTTTGCTAACCTTTTTTTGGGAAAAAGTCAGTTCCAGCACGAACAGAGAATCATAAAACTAGGCCCTGAGCTTACCAGAAAAATGAATTAACTCTTTCAAAGCTTGACGTGACTACTTCAGATTGGTTGCCGAATAAAAAAGCAAAATAAGAGAAGCTTTGCTTCTGAGGGGAAGTGGGAGGTTTCAGGAAATTGTCAAAGTTCTTCTCTCCTCTCTCTTGATCAACACCTCCTTAGTCTCTGAGATATGCAATTTGACAACCAGCAAACCCAGTAAATCATTGTGAACAAAACAAAACGTGTCCATCCAATTGGCAACGAAGTGATATAATTTCACAGCGGAAAATGAAAAATGCAAAAATAATGAACTGATATAAATGCGTTTGACGCGCCTCAGTAATATCAGAAGTTGAAGTGCATTTTTCCAGAGGGTTCCTTCTGAACAATTCTCTCATGACAATACTTTGAGAACCTGAGGCGACAGATGCACAAGTTGTTAATCTAGATGGTAGCTCTGTTAAATTCATACAACGATATTTTTCTTTTTTTAAATTTCAGACGCAGCAAAGTGAGCAAAAGGGGGCCGAGGCGAAAGAGGAGAAGAAGGAGGGAGAGGAGAAGAAGGAGGAAAAGAAGGAGGGCGGGGAGAAAAAAGAGGAAAAGAAGTCGGAAAAAGAAAAGGAAAAGAAATCTGAAAAGGAAAAGAAGTCGGAAAAGGAAAAGAAATCGGAAAAGGAAAAGAAGTCGGAAAAGGAGAAAAAAGAGGAGAAGAAGGAAGGGGAGAAAAAGGAAGAAAAGAAGGAGGGGGAGGAGAAAAAGGAGGAGAAGAAGGCTTCGGAAAAGGAAAAGAAAGAGGAGAAGAAAGAAGAGGAGAAAAAGGAGGAGAAGAAGGAAGGGGAGAAGAAGGAAGGGGAGGAAAAGAAGTCGGAAAAGGAGAAAAAAGAGGAGGAAAAGAAGGAGGAGGGGGAAAAGAAGGAGGAGAAGGAGGCTGATACGGTAAGTATTTTTGTTCCCCTCTTTATTTTTGTTGAAAACATGAGTTTTTGTACAGGAAAATATGTTGCGCAGGTCGTTGTTCAAACAAGCATCAAATTAAACAAGCATCACTTGTTTGCTGGATATTGTAGCCGTCTTGAGCTATCGGCAAAATGCAGCAGTTGCTGTAAATCTAAAAAACACAGTACTTTTTTGTGGCGGAAGCCAAACTCCGAACATACGCTTTTTGAAAAGGAAACACACATACTGTCAACAGTAGGTACTAACTGAAGACTTATAACTTCGAGATCGCGCACTTTACGCAGTTGCTCTTGGCACTTGGCTATCCTAGTAACGGCTGTAAACGTCCGTGCGCACCCACTGCCTTTCGAGTGATGTTGATAATCTTGGCAGTTAAATGTTAACTAAATAACGCATCCAGATCAGCAAATGTTCCTCTTTGAAAAATGTTTCTGGCTATTGGCGCAGTGGACAGTGGCAGCGATCCCCCATGCTTCAGGGAATTGCTGCTAATAACTAATAACAAGCATGACGTGTAAGCACCTTATCTGTTGAGCTTGAAGAGTAGATCCAAAACTCTCAATGAAAGAACCGGTTCCTCCGCAATTTATCGACTTGTCAGCGGTTTTTGCTGGTACGATGCCGAGCATACCAGTGCATTACCTTCAGCTTATCATCAAGAAACCTATCGCAGAAGCACTAACAATCTTTCTGCACAATAACATTCATAAATGCCTTTTAGAATAAGTGGAATACGAACGAGATTTTAGACTTCGACTGGCCTAGGAGTGGGAATGGAGTCAAGCAGAGGGGAAGGAGAAGGGGAGGGGGAGGGGGGAAATAAGCAAAGATAGTACTAACCGGTTTTGCTTTTAAAAGCTGTCCAAACGTTTGAAAAAGTATTCATTACTGTTTTTCTAAAAGACGCTAATAGTCTTTTTATTTGTCGAAGGGGCCCGCTTGAAATAGTCTTCGGCTATGCCAGTAATATAGCGAAAATAAAAGTTCTGAGTGTACCATTTGCAAGAAAAAAAAAAAAAAACAAAAGCACTGTCATGACAGCAGAAGTAATTCAAACGAAATTTCAGGACAAAAAAGATGAGGGCGAAGGTGAAAGTTAAAAAAGGAGTGAGAAGCTGTGGCCAAGAGCCAGAGGGGACTGGGTGTAATGGCTGGAAGAAGGGAATCCAGCGAAAACGAGCACACTGTACTGATTTAATAGCCGTTGCAAACATCCCTCTTATTATTATTCTTGAAAAAATGAAACGGGTACTGAAGCTAGCAATTATCCAATGCATCCCCACCCATGCATATGCTTGATAAATTCCTGTACAGCACAATTTTTCGCACTGAAGTGACAGTATTTATATATAAACTTATTTGATCAACTGTTGTGCAGTCTCTCATTTCAATTCTACATTACACAACTTACCGCAACCTAGGTGACAGCGAACTAGGCAGTGTCAAGACAGAGCACGCAAAGTGCCACAGTTTTTCTGACTAAACTGCGCAAGCACTGTAAATATGGTCAGTGAATGTTTGATGCAGTGTAAAGGCCACACATCTTTGCACAAAAACGCAAACAATATGGAATGCAAGATAAAAGATACGGGCGCCAATGACCTACGCTCTCCTTGTCCTAATCAACAGCAGCATAATATTGTCAGCCAGAAAATAAAGCGAGTGAAGTCTGGGCTAACAGGTGCGCACAGGGTTTGCAGCAGATCACGTTTTTTTGTTCTAAACCGGAAGCACTTAGTTTTTGTTTTTGTTGTTTCCGTTTGCATCTCATGTTGTTTTGCATTCCCGCATTTTATATTGTTTGCGTTTTTGTGCAAAGATGTGTGGCCTTTACGCTGCATCAAGCAGGCGCACTTACAGTTATAGTTATTGCTTTACAGTTTTACAAGCGCATTCATGCTAACTGTACTTTGATTTTCTTGTGTGCAGGAGGACGTGTTTGTTAGGGGAGTGATGCTGCGTCATGGAACCGCGCGAAATCTTAACCTTCAGCATGCTTTATTACCGCAAATTGTGCATGAAGAGAAATGCTGGCTGGTTTTTCGTCAAAAAATGCAAACCTGGCGGCGGACAGTTTGTTGAAAGAGAGATGGTGAAATTCGCAAAATGCAGTCGCTTTTGAGCTTTCGATTAACCTCTTCAGACTCAGTTGCGGATCATGCTCAGAAAATTTCAGCACT